AGGTTTGCTGGGTGCAGCTTGTGAATTAACTTGCCTTTTTTAAAAAATTTTAATAAAGGAAATATTTTGGAGAATAGAAACCTTACCAGAGCAGTGTTACTGTGAAAAGTCTGTAGTGTGAGAGCAATGACCTCTAGTTCCCTCGGCAAGCTTTGCCTGATGAGCAAAGCACTGGGAAGTTAAATGTGCTGCTTGGTTTAGGGAAAATAAAGGCTACACTCGCACTTACATGCAACTTAAAAGCAGTGTTTAACTCTAGGAAACACAGCTCTTACTAGACATCTTTGCATCTCTTGCCATCTCCTAATTGCATTCTCTCCAATGCAAGTGATAATTATTTTAATTCTTTAATTTCCTGACAATTTCTATCTAGGAGTCTTGGTGCATGTTACAGACTGATGCTCTGAGCTTCTCAGTCTCCAAGTAAGAAACATCTCGCCTGACATAGAGGTAATGATGGGTGCAGGAACTGCCTTGTGATGTACTGGGCCAATGCAACAAAAGATTAAAACCCAGCATTCTGATTCTGTGTTTTTATGTTAATTCCTGACCTGTACATTCTYATGCAATCACCAAGAACCATTTGTAAAAGCAAGGAGGTAAAAAAYGCAGGATAACCTAAGCATATAATTTTCCCAATTCTCCTGAGCCACTTTATACTGTTCATTGGCTTCTGATTAAAGTAGTTTTGAAGTGATTTATAATATGGCTATATAATACTCCTAGAAGAAGTGGGCCTGAAAAAAAGCATCTTCTTGTTGGAAGATGATGAAATTTGAGCTGATTGTCCCTTGAGATCAGACATGATTTTTTTTTTTTACCTGAAACATTTCCTTGAATGCTGCTAACACGGTGAGGTTTGATAAAAATTAGTATCTGAGATACTGGCCTCTAATTCACCCGARCCTTAAAGAAAGATGATCAAAATCAGGACATAGATTACAGAACTTTCTTCTGATTTTTCCTAGAAGGCACACATCAGCACTGTGTATCAACGTGCAGTTTCTGAATAGGTTTTGTGCACTGTCTGGAGAAGGAAACCAAATAATCACTGGTAGCTGCRTTAGAGAAATCACCTCGGTGATCTGCTTAGTAGGAGCTGGAAGGGCTCGTTGCTACTGCTGTTCAGCTGTGCAGGAGAAGTAGCAGCTCTAAGACTGGTCATTATCCTGCCGGAGAGCAGAATAGGAATGGAAATGACCTTATAGTTCCAGGCAGTTGCTTAGAATGCTTCCTCTTTCCAGCCACTGTTGCTTTGGCCCTGTTGGGACTGGTGTTGAGTGACTTGGGGCTTTTTTTGGGGGGGGAGCCGAAAGGGGGGGAGTGTGTGTTCAGATTCTCCTTTCACGGGAAAAGTTATTGTGCAACGTCAGCAAAACTGTCTATATTTGCATAGAACTAGATCAAAAACCAAGGGTGGGAGGTAGAGCTGGAGTGTACAGCATAACCTTAATATGCTCCAGAAGTCTCCCATTAGTGAAATGACAAACTCGAGCCCTTGGAGAGCTTGCAACTTGGGCAGGCTGCAAGGAATGAAGCAGCTGCATGTCACAGCTTTTGTGAGTATGAAAGCAGCGGAGCTGTCTGCAATTACGTCTGTCCTTCCTGCCAGGGCTCAAGGTGACAGGGAAGTTCCTCTGATCAGTGATCAGTGAAGAGCTGGTGAATACTCCAGAGATGGATGAGCCTGTGTGACACTGGACATGTGCTCTGGGGAGACCATGGACTTGTACTGTATTGCCCCAGAGCACAGATAGGGGAATTTAATCAAGCTGAGCTTGATGTGCTGCATCTTCTCTGTGAACTTGTTCAACAAAAAGAAGTCTGAATCCAGAACTCATTCCTGAAAGCATGAATATCCCTGTTTTCCTCTCATCTTTCCCACTTGTCATCCTCCAGGCATTTCCTTTTGTTCTTTGATTGTAGCTAGTTTGGGGCAGAGAGTTTATCATTAGCTATTTTTATAAGAGAGGCTGTGTATGTGTTCCMCAAGCCCCCACATGCACAGGCTGCTGGATGTTTTCAGCGTGTTGGGAGGCGTTAGGAGACTGGGTAATCCCGAGGGCTTTCACCACCCGGCACGGCACAGCCCTAGACCTGATAGCCTTGCTTCTTGGTGGACTGCTCCCAAATGAAACTCAGTAAGTGCTCCTCATCCTACTAGCACTTTGTCAGAGGAACTATTCCAAAAGCTTATAGTCCTGTCTGTAAAGCAGTGTGTGGAATTGCAGCAAGAACCACGGGCATCTCAAAAGGGCTTGCAGGTCATTGCAGATCTCCAAACTGCGGGAACCCTGCACTGAAAGGGAACTCAGTTTGCTGCCCAGAGGACAAATGGACAAGCTACTTGTCACACATTCACATCAAGCTGCTTGCTACTTGTTTCCCAATAGCTCTGCGCATAGTTTGGTGGTTGCCACTAGCAAACAACACAAATTTGTAGAGGCAAAGTTCAAGAAGTTGTTTGACAGCTTGGCTTTTGACAGCAGATGGCTGTAGCGCTTCAGTGACTGGATTCTTCTGTTCTTCTACCTTGTGAACGGTTCTTCTACCTATTTTTTCCATTTTGCCCAAGTACTGAAGTTTCTGAGGTATATGCAGGTTTTGCAGGAGCCTCCATCGGTTAGTCAGAATTTGTAATCACAATTTAGGGTTGGTAGTGGCTGAACTATGATATTTTTGCTTATTCCAAGTATGGCAAAGATGCGGTCCAGCTTGTGTCTGTATGAGTGGAGACTGCATGGGAGATTTATGGGTGCCTTGTCTTGTGAAGTCGCTAGCTCATGTTTTAAATGGGACCTTGCAAAGAATGTGACAGCGCAAGGATGCTGCAAAGATGGCAAACACCTGATTCTGCCCCACATTAAGTAGTGCTTGGCTTTACTGCAATTCCAGCTGTTTGTCTTTAGTGGAAACACGGAGCGGAGTGAGTGAGAAGTTAGCCAGCGCTGAAATCTCCTGAGTCCTTAAAGGCTGCGAATGTTTCCTTTGCGCTTTTATATTGCAGCCAGCATCAGTTTGTCAGAAAGTTCAGTGACTGTCTCAGAACGTAGCGGGTTCTTGCTGTTTATTTAGTGATTTGTTTTTGTGTGTGTGTGTGTAAAACTGGAGGGTACTTTTAACAACCAACAGGTCAAAGATGACACAGGAATTATGTTGTGGATATTGTGAGATCAGCRACCTGTGGAACTTACTGCTGAAAGAGACGGGGGAAATGGTGGGGTCCAAGAAATTTTTCAAAAGTACAGACAATACAACCAGAAGACACAGGGAGGCAACAGGTGAAAGGCCCAACTCGCAGCTCCTACTTTTCCTAGGCTGGGCTTTGAACCATGTTTCTCTGGTCATTCCACAGGCCCTTATATGCATTYACCCCATTGCTTCCCTTCCCTCGGGCCCTTGGCGATTGCAGCTTGCCCTCAGCCGGGTAAGAAAGCRCACGTGCCGCTGCGAGCGAGCGGGAGCCCAAGGCCGAGCAAACACGGAGCGCCCGCCTCGCTGCTGCCCCTCGCCTTCCTCCTGGCCCCTGGCAGGGCAAACACGAGCGCCCTGCTCTCTGCTGCCCCTTGCTTTCCCCTGTTTGCCCGCCTAGCAGGGCAAACAAGCAGCTCCGGGAGCTCCACGCAGCCTCGTCCAACAGGGAGACCTGTTGGAGGGACTTGCTGTTTTTAAGCGCTTCAGCCACTGTCGGGCCGGTGTCAGCTGCGACTGAAGTTGGCCAGGAGTCCCTGGGAGGGGGAGGACTGACTGGCAGCTGAGAGCAATCACAAAAGCCCGTCTCCAGGCTAACTGCAACATGAATATGCATGAGTCACAGCATAAACTGATGAGCCTAAAATTATCTGYGATGTTGAATTTCTGTCTAGTTGGCCCGATACATTAGGGCTTACTCTGGAAGTRGCGGTTTTGGCTTTGGGTGCAGATGGGCTCACAGCTGCACTCTAGGCCAAGAGTATCCTAACAGCTCCAACTGCAGTTTTAGTGATTTGGGCCTGGTGCTTTTGCTTTTCGACAAAGGAGATTCAGCAGGAACCTTCTTGCCCACATTTTAGCTTTTAGCTGTTACTGGTTTGGTGCTGAAGCTCAAGTGCTCTTCTCCTGGCAGTTCCYTGCCCTTAGTGTTGAGTCCAAGCTGATACTGCTGCCCTCTCCCCTCCGGCACTGTTCCCAGGCTGTCATGTCAAGCACAAAACAAATACTCAGTGGCTCAGAGCTCCTTGCATCCAGGAGAAATTGCATTTTCACACTGGCTCAGAACCTCCTCTGCCGAGCCAAAGCAAAATTAACACTGAAACTAATCCCTTTGCCCTTACCACGCACGCCCCCTTCCACCGAGGAGCCAAAAAGAGTGAAGAGAATTAACCTTTTCTGTAGGTTTCTGAGACTGGTAATACCCTGCTTTTAATTTTCTTCTTTCCTCTTTTCCAGTACCTGAATCAGGGAAAACAATTTTTCCCTAGGTACCAGAAAGTTGGAAAATAGATTTTCCCGGGCTGCCGGAAAGCGTCTCCTTCCTCTTTTCACTGCTAATGCTGGGAGCTTGAGAAGGACTTTTTTATCGGTACTTATTTGCACAGGACTGCCATATAGCTTGGACAGCCTATTAGCCAGTCCGAGCAGGTTGTAGGTCTTGTTGGAGTAACTGCTGCTCACTCTCAAGAGGAGCCCGGAGTAGCTGTTCCCACTCCTAAGGTAAAGAGCTCCGTGGTGCAAACGGCACTACCCTCCTATCTGTGGGAATATGCTGCTGAGTGAAACGAGAAACAAGCATATAGAAAGTGAGGGCAGCCTATAATGCTGAAGTGACCAAAAATAAGAGGGCTTTAAAGGTTTGGTCCCTTTGGCTCTTCTCTTTTCTGGTTTCCGAAACTCCAGTGTGCTGATGCAGCCTCGTGCACTGTTAACTTGCCAGGCAGAACGCACCACGATCCTTCTCCCAGTTTAGGGACATCTTGCCCTAGGAACGTGGCTTTTCTCTCATCTGCCCCTTTTCAATCCAGGCTCCTGGACCGTCCAGCTGGAAAAGGGAGGTATGGTGGTGGTGCTGAGGAGCCTGCTGTGGCTGGGACTGACCTTCTACCACGTCCCAATGACCAAGCAATACGGCTACGTCTACTTCGGCACTGGTGAGAAGAACTTAGACCTGCCCTTCATGCTGTGACCCTGCTGCCTRGGCTCAAGTGTGTTTAGATTTTATCCTGTGAAATGTGTTTATTGCCTATTCTAATAAATATATGAAACTTCTGCACTTTGGACAGTATTCTTTTTTTTTGGTCTGGACTCTGTCCCCRATTGTTTCCTAGGACTTCACTGTGTGTAATCCTCCCTCAGCTCCATAGTGAATTAATTCCCTGTAACGTGGCACTGCAGATCCTTTAGATAGCAATGACATTTCTTCCAGGAAGGGCAGAGCCCTAGGTCAGAGATCAAACCTAGGCCAGAGCCCATGCCTACAGAAAAACTCACTTGGAGGCGACACGAATGAGAGCCGGCTGCCATCCATGAATCACAACCTCAAATTGAGTTTCTGCCTTGGAGTCAGAGGAGAAGGCTCATGCATACTATGGGGAACCCTGTACTAAGCCCTGAACTCCAGAAATACATGTTGGAGAGAGATGGGTATCTTGTTTTTCAGATACCAGTGTTCACCAAAAATTACGTTTTCTTCCAGCTCCTGGCAGAAAATGGTATTGTTGAAAAAAAAAATCAGCTGCAGCCATCACCTGGTCGTTTGCCAAACCCGCTCAGCTTTGTCTCAAGGCAGTCGTTACCCAGTGGTAATGGACTTCACTAATGAACTTTTCCATTAGTAAGAGTCATTGAGCAGAACTACTGGAACTAAAAGAAGTTCTGTGCGCAGGAGAAGAAAGAATGATCTTTTCCATTCTGCAGGAATGTGGGTTTCAAAGCTTCATAAAATAGTGAGGGTCAGCCAGAGATTTTATCTCAGGATAATTAATGAAGTGTTGGCTCTGTCTCCCACAGCCAAAAGATCTTGGCTGGCTCAAGRGGCTGAATCTAGGACTTCCACTTCACAAGCTATAACTAAAAAGAACCATTATAATCTAATTTGATTTCCTGAGTAATATTCCTGTGCTTATCCTCATCCTTTGTTCCTGTCCGTGCCGATAGGTATTAACAGATGATTCTGATGAAAGCAATACGAGGCTCAGTGGAACAGCAGTAAATTAAAAAAAAAGCTGTGATTTCTAATCCCCATCTACACAGCAAAGAAACTGAGCCAAAGCAGTAACGTCCCCGATAAATTTAATGAGACTTYCATGCCAGGTCCATATCTAGCACTTCCCAAGCAGAAGCTGTCAGGAGGTGGAAGACACCTGGATGTGTTGAACAGAGGGAGAAATATGGTTACCTTGTAGTTATACAACAGAAAATGGTGCRCATCTGGCAGCCCCAAACTACACTAGGAAGCAGCTATATTGCTGGTGGAGAAGACTTGTGGCAAATGTGTTTGCAAAGTGAAAAAACAGGCTGAATCATTAAAGATGTCAACGTCGTGTGTTTGTTCGATCCGGGAGGGAAGCACAAGCCGCGGATCCCTGAGAGGACACGTAAGATGCACACGTGCTGCCAAACGCCCGCCAGCCTTCAGCACACGTGTTCTGCTTCACGTTACGGAGAGCACAGATGATAAAAATACTTCACTTCAGCAGTCATTAACATAATTTGCATCACTGCCAAAGAAGCGCTGAGCTGCATGAGGCTTTTTATACTCAGTGTCACAAGTACAAAAGCCCCAAGGAGGCAAATCTGAGTTGAAACACATATAAATGGAGAATCAGTATTTATTGCTAGCGAAAGAAGGGAACAACCTTATCCAAACCCACTAGTGGACCGCAATGAAACACAAATCATCAGATTTTTTCTGTCTTTGAGGTAAAAGCTTTGTCTCCTGCTGCCTCCACATCCTCCTGCACATTAAATTTGGCTTTGCTGATTCCTGTTTTCTCCCGAACGAGCAGACCACTGCTCATGCACTGGGGATCATACAGGACATTCATGAGAGTTTTGAAATAAGAAAACTGTGGGTACCGACAAACCTGCAAAAAGGGCACACTAATTTAACACAGCTGTGCTCACTGCCTGTGCCAGTTCCACTGGGCCTAATGGTTTAAGAAGATAGGCTTGTGTGTGTATTTGACATTATCCTTGAGTATAGGGTGTCCGACTGGCATGGGAACTTTGCACCACTTAGGGCCCCTCTTCCAGATGGGCTTGGCAGATCTGACGGACCAGCGGGTCAGGTACCTATCAAAACAGAACACAGACACATTTCAAATTGAGCCTCCTCATGGAGGAAAGGTTTTCATGAAGCAGAACGGCCACCCTGGCCTCCCCACGTTGCGTCTTTCTAAAAGCAGGCAGTGGCCATGGACAAATCTCCCTCGGCTCAGAAGAGACCACTGGAGACAGCGGTTTTCCTTCTGGAACTTCTAAGCTGCACCTCTGCATTGAACCCAAAGGCACCTGCCGTGAGTTCCAGTCCCATGCAACAGATCTGGGCCAGTCTTCGGGCTGCTGGCAAGCTGTCCATCTGCCCAGGAGAAACCCTTCAGTGCATGCAGCTCCGAGTCTGAACCCCTCCAACATGCACATTCTTGAGAAGTGTCATTTCAACAGCTGGCCTGAATAAAAGCCAGTTACAAAGGTTGGGCTCAGTATAAAATAAACTCTGTAATGGCATTCATTTACTTCCAGTGGATAAGCAGTTTTTTTGTCCTGCATGAGATGGGCTTCTGGTCTTGTTATGCATTTTCATATGCCCACGTTTGCTTTATTATTTCTGTACAGCACTCTTCCAGCTGGCTGGTGCAGGAAGGCACGACGTGCAAATGTAAGAGGTACCAGAATGGAGAGATCACAACTGCAAATGCTTGTGAAGTGCAATGTCTGGCAAAGAGCCTTTGTTTTTTACCATCTGAAGTTTTAGGCTTGGCTTGGCAAACAGGCGGGGGGGATCTCAGATCCAGAATCAGTTACTGGAAATCCTACCCGCTGGCTGGGTGGCCTGCAGTTTTGTTAGGCTTTAAATCTTTTGCTACCAATACAGAGAGAATAGTAGTCCTTAGAGGAGTCTTTTCAGACAAAAAAGAGATCCAAAGTAAAACCCTCACGTAATCTGCACAAACAATACTTCAACAAATTAGAATTTGGAACAGACCGATAAACTTTGTCCAGCGATGTTTGCATGCCTCTGTTGAGTAATCCCAAAGTCTTAATGTAACCTCAATCTGTCATCCTCTCGCCACAGAGCTCTGGTACCTTTTCTTTGCATCATGCAAATCTGAGATACGAGGAGCTTTGCACAGAGACCACATACACKGCGTTGTTCCCAGACCCCTGGCACACGACTCCCTAGCGCTCTTCTTCCTCAGCAATCTTGAACAATATGAATTGGAAAACGAGCCACACCTGGAGGCTCCTGCCACTGAAATGGAGCCACTTATATTTTGCAGATATCCAGCAGATTGGRGCTTTTGCTTTGGGGAGTTTCAGATAGTCACGACACTTAGAAGCAAGAGCAGGAGCGATAAGGGACAGAGCGTGGAACAAGATCCATCCTATGCGTGTATTAAATTAGTCCCTCTTGACCTTTATATGTTATGATGTGCATTAGTGGAATCCCTTACATAACAACATTGGGACAGGAAGCACGAGAGACTCCAGTGTCTAATTTCAAATGCAAGGAGAGTTCAGGGATACCAGAAACAGCTCCCTAGTCTGGAATCTGGCAAAGCAGTGAAGCGGGGCAGCTTCCTTTGGGAGATGTGTGGGGCTACTGGACAGGCAATGGGCACAGGTCCTTCTCTTTACATTTCCCTTGCAATAGGTGGAGGGCTATAGCGTGAGTTTTGCTATCACAAGACTAAAGTCACACTAAGGAAGACCAAAATCCCCAAATCCCTAATTTTAAAGCATCAGTGGCCAAGCTCCGTTCTGTTCCGTGGGCCAACGCTTACGGGAAAGTGCATCCATGGCAATCCATGATCTCACTGGCAGGGAAGTGCATGTGTGAACGCAGATACACATCCACGCTGTGTGCAGGTTTARGCAGACAGTGGCTTTTTAAGAAACCCCTCTGCTTCTGGGTGGGGGCTGGAAGTGAGCACCCGAATTCTGCATAGGAAGGAGGATTTAGTAATGGCCTGATTTTAAAGCTTTTGTTATTTCTCTTTTGAGCAGGTCTAATCCAGCCCTCTGGTCCAGGCTTTTGGCTTCCTTTGGGGACTGCAGGCTGGGGCTTTTCATTGTTAGCTGAAACAGGCATTTGGAYGCTTTCCCTTCCTCAAGCACATTTGCTTTTAGCGCTTTTAATACTTGCTTTGTCCCGACCTCAAACTTGTTCTATTTTGTTTGCCTTTTTTTTTTTTTTTTTTTAAACCTGGATTCAGCAATGGCAAAAGCCCGATGCCTGGGAGCAGTCAGTCTACAAAGTTCCTTTTCCTTTTTGCCTAACCCCGGTTCCTACTGTTTCACAGAACTTTTCATTTTTTCTCTTCTTTTCTTCCTGAGAGTAAAAACAAGCCACAAAACTCATACAAAAACTTCAAAACATGTTGCCTAATGCAAGACTTTTCTCAAAACTCTGCTGCCCATGTAAGGTTGTGTTTTGCGAATTTGTTACACCCTTTTCCAGCCAAGTCACCCAACTACGCCTTGCATCCAGCCACCTAGTTTGTCTTGCAGCGTTTTACAAGGGCCTGCAAACACCCGCTGCCAGATGGCCGGAATCTGCGCGACCAGCTGCCGCCTGTCAGGACGGAGCCTCCACGCGGATCCCAAAGGCAGCCCGTCTGCAGGCTTGAAACCCGTTATCTTGGGCTGTGGAGTTTTGTCCCTGGACAAAGAGGGTCAGAACTGCCCATCTCGGGGAGCAGCAGCTCGCCTCGGGGCACTGCTCCCCTTCGAGCACAGCAGGACCCGGGGCAACAACCCCGCTGTGCGGCTCCAGGGCTGGTTATGGCTCATGCAGGTAGCCCCGTAGCCTCCATCACCCGTGTCTGTGGTGGTGCGAGCAAATCTGCTTCCAATCCGGATGGGAAATGGCAGGGCATGGGAGCAGCTGCAGCTGGGCACCCGCAGCCGCTGCAGTCACCTAAAGTCCCCATCCTAGGTGGAGGCCAGGGGTTCCTCAGGTAACCCAGTAAGCAGGAGGGCTCCAAAGCACTGCTCACTGCTTCCCAGCAGCTGCACAGTGCTGTGTAGCACACAGGGAGAGGCAGAGGGCTTCCACACCCCGGGTAAAGCCTCAACGTGGGGCAGTTGCACCCTGCCTGCAGCCCAGACACAAACCTCGCAGGTGCCGCTCGGGGCTGAACTTCTGAACCCTTCTTGAACCTCCCAATCTGGCTCGTCTGGATCAGGAGCAAAAGGCAGAGGGCTACAGACGGTGCAGGAAGCACTCGATCAAAGTGCTGGCAAGGCCGCCTCCTCCCTGCCACACTCCTTCCCAGGACGCCTCTTGGCTTTGCTCACCTGCGGCCTTTGAGTTCACATACTGTCTGCATGCAGGGCAGAGAAACCACATGCTGCTGGAGTGAAACGTCCACAGCCCTGAAACCAGACTCGGCTCCCAGGGACTAAAGGTGTAAAGGTGACCTGGGAGCTTTGTAATCCATGAACCGGCCTCCTCCCTAACTCATGGCAACTTCTGCAGTTCCGGAGATGGAGGAGGGAATAACTCGGATACCGCCCGGGCCAATTTCTGCTCTGCCAGGAAGAGGCTGATAATGAAGCAGCAGCGGAGCACTCAAAATCATGGACTCCATAATCTACAGTAACCTCCTGCTGTCAGAGCCTAGGCTTAGGCAGCCTGTGATATCCCTCAGTCCTTTTGATTTAACCAGTATTTTGGATGTGCTAGAACAGAACAAGTGCTGTATTTACATTAAAAGAGCCCTCCAGATGCTGAACTCAGTGGCTATTCCAGAGAATTAGTCCGCACTATCCATCCAACAACATCCACCACGCTGGGAAGAAAACTGGTGAGCTATTTGGATTTGCAGTTCTGAAAGCTAGGAGGGAATTCTGATCTGCAGCTGTGCTCGACAGCTTCCCAAATGGTGCTGGTGTGTGGCAGTCTGCACACACACAACTGGAAGTGAGCGCAGGCTGTCACTCTGCATGGTGCTGCTGAAATCCCTGGGAATTTCCTCAGCCTTACAGGCTAGCGAAAATCGTTTGTTGCTGCAGCATTTAACTGGAACATGCCAGGCTGGAGCACAAACAGAGGCAAAGCTAAGAAATAAGGTCAGGAAGTTAAGAAAGGGAAGTGTCAGGCTGAGCATGACAAATTAACTTGTGGATTTGTCCCTCATACACGGGGAAGACTGAGCCTAGGCCAAACACAAGGAGATGAACTACAGGGAGTAATTTGGCATTGTCAGGGAACAAACCTAGATGGTTTTCCATGACCAAGTTCTACAGAGAGATGTTCTGGAAGAGAGGGGAAGAGGAAGGCAGACAAAAGAGCTTACAGAGTATGTGGGTACTCTGCTGGCCAGATTTCTGCAAACGAATAATCAACAATGCATTCATAAGCTATCACTGTTGAAAACAGGTCAGGTATTAAGCCAAAAGGCAAAGAACTGAAGCCCAAGAAATAAGAAATACTGTGGGAGGTGTCACCTGGGCAGGGTCCAGACTACTGGGAGCAGTGGAGGGCTCCACAATTTATTTCTGAGCACGCATCTCCTACCTCCCCCAAGACCAAAGTTTGGCTCAGCTGACCATTCACTTTCATATTGTACCTTCTGTATTTCTCAAACTTCTTTTCTGTATTACATGATATTCTGGTAGATGATCACATACTGTGCTGGAAAGTTGCATGACCAAGAACAAGTCAGGATCTGCAAGGCACCACTTACAAATGCAAAGCAGGGAAATTCTTATCTCCCTGCAGGGAAATCTGAGAAAGTGTCCAAAGTTCACAGAGTGGAGGCAATGCAACCACTTCAGAAAGTAGAGCAGCAATTCCACTTTTTGGAAAACATTGAGTAACCACCATAAAAGCATTTTCTGGAAGGGCAGAGCAGGCAAGGGGGTTCTGGGTGATACAGCCACCGAGCAACTGCAAGGCAGCACCCCTGAAACTTGTTTGCTGACAGTTTGAGGTGGTGCCTGTTGCATTTTAATCTCTGACAAGACCTCTGCCAGCCAGAAGGTGACACTCCGAATTCAGAGTGTCTACACTCAGACACTGTATGTAGAGTTTAGGTCTGTGTTGCAGCTGAGGTGCTAAGCTCTGACTCTTCACTTCAACTTGACTTCAAGTTGCACTCCTGCAATAATCTCCTTCATCCGCAGGTTGCTGTGGATGAAATCTGTCCTTAAGGTTATCCTTGGGGATCCTCAGCTCTTGTCACTCTAGTAGTGAAGGTGCAGTCTAATATGAAGAACCCTACTACCAGCAAAAGATCCTTCAGCTCCATGCAAGGTTTTCTGTCCGCAGATGATGGGAAATCTTACAGAAATATGCGYGGTAACATCCAGAGTAGACTTCTCCAAAGTCCCTCCATTAGATAAGTGAAAGATCTACAGTCAGAGCCAAGGATTAGACAAAAGACTGCTTATCTCAGTACAGGGGAGCAATCAGAGGAATTTCAGGGCAGAAGTAATCACACAGAAGTACAGTAAGACTGAGACACATGCTGTGCTTTAGCAGGGCAAAGCTCTCAGTGTCACAGTCTGACACAGACTGTAGTCCTTTACAGGGCTCTGCCTGCTCTTCTCATCTTGCACCAGACTTGCCATTTTAGGACCGTACAGCAGGAACCACATGTCTTCTACATGCAAAGCTCTCTCCYGTGTGCAATGCAAGCCCTAAAGGCAAGAGAATGAGGGCAGGTGAGTAAGGGGGAGAGACAGCAGGAGTGGAGCATATGTGAGGGGGAATGGCTACATCTCCAGTGTACAGGATGCTACCAGTCACCTGGGAGAATTACCCATATCCATTTGTTTCCCCTTCTCTTCTCTGGCCTCTTGTCTCATGACTCCTACAGAGCCCAGCAGTTAATGCCTCTTCAGCCAGGGTCATGGGCAAGCTGCTGGGCCAGGGTTTCTGGTTCCTTCMTGGACCACTCACCTGACCACCCAGTCAGGGGGTGGCGAGTCAATAGCTCCCCCACGCTCCAGCAGGGTTGCTTTGGACATGGGAGAASGCAGGGGAGGAGAGGAGTGCAGTTCAACATGGTGTGCACTGTAAAACTACTGGAGGAGCAAGGATAAAGCCATGRCTGAAGGCAGAGCTACACAGCCCTTGCTGTGATAGGCTCCTTGCAGAGCTTGCTGAGCCCTTCACAGACATAGAAACCTAGCAGAAAAAAAATGCACTGAAGGGACGTGCTCYGTTAGGTTGAAAGTCTTGCTGTTACCCCAGAGAGGATGTGAGAATGACCTGGTAAAGCCCTTACAGCACTGAAAAATCAGCTCGTTCCACTCCAGAGTCCCAGCCCAGTTCTGCCCCTGCCAGCTCACTGTTGCCTTTGGCAGCACCACAGACCRTTTCCCAAAGCAGCATGGGCTCACAGAGGGCTTTAGAAACAAGTACTGAGGCAAAGAGAAGGTAAACACAAGAGAAGACATTTATACAGGAAATTTGTGGTTTAATTCCCAAAATAAGTACTGGGTGAGTATGTTCAGCATGTGGGCACCCTTCAGTCCTGTGAGGACGACCTTGCCCATCAGGCTGGAGAAAGGCAGCAAGGAAGGAGCAGGGGAGCATTTCTGRGGTGCCCCTGCAGTCCCTCCTGGCTACAAGCCTCACTTGAGCACTTCCATCSCCACCATCAACAAAACTCCTGGTCTGATTTCTTGATCCCATTCCTTGTCTCCATACAGATCTTTATCTCACTCTGCTCCCATCCTGGGTGCTGTGTTCCCTTGCTGGGAGGACAAAATCAAGCGTGGTGTGCAGAGACTAGCAGGGCACTAGGGAGGACTTCTCTCTGAACTTGCCTTCAGAGGTACGGCACATCTATAGCTGACTGTAACCTGACGTATCCATCCGGTGTTCTCCCATGGAACAATTCACAGGAGTTGGGGCGTTAGACCTGCAGCGCTGGTGTGATTCCAGCAAGATACGGGATTTGCCATTTCCTGCCCCAGCCTGCTCTGTGCAGGGCTGCAGTGGGAATGCAGCTAGCTCCTGAACTCCACTCCATAGCTGCCAGCTGGGCTCAGTGGCTGGGGGATCCCAAAGAATTTTTAAGATAACAGCAACGAGAAGGTGTTCAGAGGTGAACGACGTGATGGCCACAGGGCCACGTCAGAAGTGGAGTCCTCTGATTTCCTCCTCACTAGCACCCAGTGCGCAGCCCGCCAGCATCGTGGGGACATATCCAAKAGCTCCCCTCAAACCTCAAGTGCAGGGAGCCAGATCTGAATAGCTGGAGCCTCGGGCTGCCCCGAGCCCTGCGGGCTCCATTCTCCAAGCAACAGGCCCGTGGCCTCTGGTAACCCCTGGGCCCGCTAATGCAGGGTTCATAAACTGCTCTGACATCCCCATGGAAACGGAGCGTGAGCTCATAAACAGGGGATTAGCACCTCCTAACACGGAGCGGGGCGCCGGAGGCGAGCGGAGCCTTTCAGTTTGCCCACCAAAGGCCAGGGGCCACTCAGCCCCCGAGGGGGAAGAGCGCAGGAAGGGCAGGCTGAGGGCGAGTTACCGAGCGCAGTGGGACGGGCAGCTGGGGAGGGGGCCTGGGGTGAGGCAGGCTGGTGGCGGGCTGCTCATCGCCCAGCTCGGCAGTGGGGCCCATCCGGAGCACCCTCCTGCCACCCTCTGTGTGTTGGGGGATGGCACCATCACTGGGGCATCCTTCTGTGACAGCCCTGCTAGTGCTGAGGAGGCCAAGGCGCCTGAGGAAGAGTGGGCATAACCCAACAAGTGCGACAAGAGTTTTAGCTCTGTGGAAGGGTGGTTTGAATGAGGTGTGGTTTGTCTTTGAAACACTGGCATCAGAACATAGTGACACATAATCTTTCCCCAAAATACTATGCGTACTCCTTACAGGCCCTGTTGCCTGAGGCTTGCTCTACCCAGTTATAAGGAACTGCTTTTCCTCTTCCAATTAATCATAAGAAAAGATAGGCTGGAAGACAAGACTATTCACCTGTTGAGCTTGGGTTTCTTGGGAACATGTCCTTCAGGAAGCTSAGGCCTGTGGTTTGGCAACAAACCTGAGAGAGAAGAAAGGTGTGAGAAGATTTTGCAGTGCCTCCTTGCCTCTACAGCATCCAGAAATTCCTTTTYACCTCCCCCTCATAAGCCAGGCAACTCAGACATCTGCTGGGACAGCACGGCAGAAACTCGAGAGCATGAGAAGCGGGACTGTCTCTTTAGTCAGTGGTGAGCCCAGACAGAGGCAAGCGAGGAGGTTCTGCTACATACACTGGGTTTGGGAAGTGATCCGCAGCCAGAGGCCCAGCTGCTTGGCCTCACTGAAGAGGCTTTCAAAGAGCTCAAGGGACACTGGTATCTAGTCATATTCAAGATGAAAATATGACTACTTAAATTCCTCTCGAACTACTGAAGTTCACTTAACTTGGACTCAAGTCAGGTACCAGTTCATGATATGCAGTACCCAGATCCTCAGCCTAGGTCTGCCTGGGACCCATTCTTAGGATAAAGCAAAGAGATCTTCATGTGGTAGAGGGTAGACCGGCACACGCTACTAATGGGGTAAAAACCCAAGCTTGTGCTAAAGTAAGTAATTTCACAAACTGATACTTAATCATGAATTATTTCAAATTGATCCACTTCCCACATGTTTCTGCAACAGCAGGCTTCTCTACAGGGATAAACACGTGCTTCTAAAGCAGAGGACAAGATATAGAAAGCAGAACAGGTAGTTCCTGGTCAACTTTCCCATCCCAACACTTGATGCATAACGAGTTTGCTGAGTAGCTGGGCACTAGTGGGGTGGGAGACCCTCTTAAAGGGTTTTGTTGGCACCTCCAGTATGGAGTTTATCTGAGGAAGAGGTGAGTACCTGCTCGGTGAGCCATCTGCACGCAGACTGCAACCTTCCTGTGCTCCTCCAGACAGAGGCCCGTGACCTTCCGTGGCAGCATTCCTCCGTCGGAGCGGATGAACTGACTCAACAGCAAGACGTCCTGAGGGATCGAGAGAAGGGCAAACCCATCAGTGCTGCAGCTACTTGAACTGCTGTGATTCTTAGGTGTTGTGCTGACCCGCAGGCTGTGTACAGAACGCAAAACAAAGCAAAACAAAACAATAATCTCTTCCTACGCCTCTTGGCTGCAGCTTGACAGCAAGTGGCTTTCGCTTGCCGTCACTCCGCCTGACAGCTTCGCTCCGTTAGGTCACGCAGACGGTCCGAGTCTTCCCCTGACTTCGCTAGTGTAAACACATTATGTCAGCTGCAAGCTCTGCTACTTCACTGTCCCTTGCTCCCAGATTGCATCTAAGATAATCTGTGTCCTAGGTACTCAGGCACAGTTACACAAGACCTACAGATGGATAGTGTTTATACAACTTGAAATGCCATCACAGCTGCTATCCTAAAGGTCACAGATATGTTAGATCACCTCTGGCCCTCTCCATGTTCCCTCTGTGCAGGATTGTTCCCTGCTATCTATTCTTCAGTCTTTTATCCAGTTTCCCATGGTGGAACTTCCCTCATGTCTCTCTGGAGGGGTGGAGAGCAGGGAAATGCTCCAAGATCTTGTGGGAGGAAGCTTTTCACAAGGAAAGAACCATGCTGTGATGAGAAAGACCTAATTGAATAAATCAGGGAAAGACCTAATAGAATAAGTTGTTGTCTTAGTCCCTTGCTTGTGYGTGCATTAGGTGGGGCTGCTAGAGCCATGCTGGGTGGACGGCGTGCTCAGAGCAGGCCGAGGGTTCAGCTGGGATTCAGGGATCACTTAGGTTACACTGCTGTTGACCATTCAGCTTAAGAGCTCTAGAAGCACAAAGCATTCTTAATAAAAACACAGTTTAAGGGATCTCTAAGATAAGATAATATCAAAGAGGCTGTACAACAAATTTTTAAACACAGCAGAACAGCTGTGGAAGAGGGTACCATTAACCACATAGTAAAAGAGCGTGACATCCAGATATGTGCTCGCCATTTCCACACACGACCCAGCTGCTCCTGCACCCCTCGGGCCAACACAGGCAGGTCCCCTCGACGCGCTGACATCAGCAGAAGTTGCCCAAAAGGGCCTCTGGAGACGCTCCGCTTGTTTTTCCCCATCTGTTAACAGMCTTGCCGCGGGCTGAGTTGACTTTTCCGCTCCTGCTGTAAACGTTTTTATAGCTGGCGTAGCTGGACCACGCAGAAGCTGCTCCCAGCCTGGAAGGGACCTGCCTGCAGGCACCTCYGCAGCACGAGGGAATTCAAGGCAGGTTTGTCAGCTCTTAAGCCCCTTGCCCCGGGCTGGGGCAGTGCAGGAGAGCTAAGAGAACCTGTGGCTTTCCACACGGGTGACCCTGTCTCTGCTGCCTCTTTGCAGACCTCCTCCATCCCGCACCTCTTCTCCTTTGCAAGCTAGGCCCAGGAGTATGCCTAGCTCCATGCACTGCCCTGTAAAGGCAAACAATCACAAGTCTGTATCAAATGAACATTTAGAAAACCCTGCTATCTAGATTTTTTACATCCATCCCTGCAGCTCTGAAGTGGACTGCAGAAATTCAGCACGGCTTCTGGTAATCACCAATTCTGACATACTTCTATGCCACAAGTGAGAAATCACCATTTTTTTTTTTCTTTCCTCTTTTTTTCCCCCATCCCCATTAGTATCATCCTCRCATACATTTTTGCTCTTCCCTTATCTGGCTTCCTTTTTACCTCTGCTTGTCTAAAATGAATGCGTTCTGTTTTTCGGTCCAGCTCCTTTGAAACTTCTTGCTGAAACGAAATGCCTCATCAAGCAGCACGTGGGGTGATGTTGCATCCACAGGACAAGAACAGCACAGCCGGGCAACTCGGAGCGAACTCCCGAGAGGCCGTCTACGGGCAGAAGGGAAGTGTTGTGTCCTCGGCCCCGTCACCACAGGGCCTTGCCAATGAGAACAGCAACCCGAGGACCYGTCAGTGCCAGCTGCGTTGGCGGCAACCGGACCGAGGCCAGCCCGGCGGTCCAAGGGCACTGACTTTCGGCCGCTCCTGAAATGCGCTGGATCGGATCCAGGAAATCCGGGCAAGACTCAGGCCCATGTTTTTCCAGCTCAAGCCATCCTGTTCTCCAGATCAACAGCTCAATTTGCCATTTAGCACAAACATCTCGCTTCCTTAAGTGAGGAAGAGCTGTTGCGTTCCAAGTGCCTAGAAGGAGAGAAGCCTTCTAGAATTTTCTTTTAGCCTGCTGTATTCCTCTGTGGGGAAGAGGAAAGAGGGAGCTGATGGCGAGTTTGAGGCCGTTCCAGTTTTTGTAGCTGTGAAAGCCTAAGTAGCCTTGTGCAGCGCCCGGGGTGTGTGTGGTCCAAGCGCTTTCTCATATTACCACCACACCTCATGGAATCACAGGGTTGCTATCAAGTGTTTCCATGCAAACAGTGGAGGTGGATATCTCTCAAAGAGAAATTTTCTTTTTCTCCCTCTGAGAAAAAAAACAAAAAACAAACCAAAAAAAACCCAAGAAAATCCATTCTCTGTTATCATCTCTGACCAACAGCTCGCCAGCTGACCACCATCTCTTGTGACAGTCATTTCTTAACTGAGTCATCTATGTGCTGCAGCTCCAAATTATCGCTCATGCTGTTTGGCTTAAACTGCTGCACACTGGACGGAAGGTGTGTCCATTTCCGAAGATCCCCACAGTTAGTTCACATGCCAGGTGCCTCTCCCAGAGACCCGCGCAGATGCATCTCACCACAGGGAGCAGGCAGACAGGTACAGCCAACTTTGTGGGGCAGCTGTGGAGGGAGACGAAAAAGTACGTGGAACTGTCTGAGAAAAAAAACAGAATGCCTGGCAAGTTCATGCGGTGCCGTCATGTTCCATGAAATTCACATTTTGTGCTAGTGGACAGCCAAGCCTGGAACTACGGATTTGCTTTAATCACTGGACAGCTCCCAAGAGGCTGGACCCAGATTCCCACCCCTGTGATCTGCAGCATTTGATGAAAACAACTTGGATTGAATTGATCTAGGGCTAACAGGCGAAACTTGCAGTTTGGTTTTCCCTACTGCCAAAGGAAAATGACATATTTACTGCCTACTCAGACTAACAATGTTTGAAGTGGATAAGGGGGGAAAAAGGAAAAACAAGTTTAGCCTTCACCTCTAAAAGGGTAAACTAGATAAACAAAACACTGTGTGCAGCATATTCTTGTGAAAGGATGGCAACTGAAAGGCAAACACGGTATCTGGAGCCACTTTGAAACCTAAGATCTCAACCAGTTACCTGCCTTTCATTAATACCATCATATGCCYCAAGAAAGAGTAACCAAACTCGTACTGGGTTGCACCAGATGAGTCTGTCAGTCACTATTGCATGTTACAAAGAATCTGCTTTCTTCCACCCCTCTCTTACTCCTGGGAGTGGCTCCAGGCATTTTTCAATAGGACTGCAGGTTCCAATCCAGTCACACCCTGACAACGACCAACATCCAATGAATACTACATGCCTATGAAAAATCAACTGAGGTCTCATTTTCCGTGGATAGACATACCCAAGCCATAAACAATGACAATTTGCACCATGGGCTTCTTTATTCTGAGCCTCAGCAGAGACTAAAGACTGAACGGGCAATGACAACTGCTGCCCTCCACCTCAGGGCTGAGGCRAGCGGGAATCGTGACCTGCTAGTGCTCACAAAGCCTGTTCACTTGATTAATAACTTGGGAGACATTGGTCCCCCAGTTCTCTGACAGCTCAAGTAACTCATTATGCCATCACTTTAGACTGGGCTAGCTGTACATGACAAAAGGAAAGTCCTATGAGGTCATACTACCCAGCCCCCTCRGGGGCTAATTCAACATTTCCCTTTTCATGGTGCTCCACTCTGCCCAATTAGAAGTATCCCAAGCAAAAAAAGCTCCCACTTTTCCTTCTGTGCAGCTACCTCATCTCAGATTATCAAATTATAAATCTCAAAGGAACCATCACGATCCATTTATTCTAATCTCTTATCAAACAGATTATGTTGTATGAATGAGGATACAACCTCAAGAAAAATAGCTGTTCTCCATTTAAAGACTTCTAAGCCGATTACAATCGCTGGTGACTAAATTGTGTCCTTGTTTAATTACTGACAGTTACATGTCTGCACTTTACTGTTGGGGCATTTCAAGATTCTGCTACTCATCACTGCTGCAGCGAAGAAAACCTGCAGAGATGGCTTTTGTGCAGAAAATGGGAGAATTTTATTCACTTTAACATTTCCAAGCCTGAAAATGTACGACTGGTACACRGCATTCACACTCATAAGAGTCTTATTCAAGCAGAGGTTGCAAGCTGCTCCAGAAATGAAGTTTCTCCTAATTCCCACCAGCCCCAGGGAGGAATGCTTCAAAATACTGAGGTAGGAACTTGCCACAATTCTGATTTATCAGGTCACAGTGCTCTCTAGTTTTTTGTCTGTGTTTTCCTCTGTTCTGCAGCAAGAGTAGCGGATATGTACATGATCAAGATGTATTAATACCTTCAAAACTGACATGACAACCAGGAAGGACATGTTCCTAGCTTGTTTGTCAAGAACAGAATTTATTAGGAAAGAATTCAACTCAATAATAATTCTCGAGATTGCAGCTAAAGGATCTTTCTTATTATTTAGTTTTCTCTTGCTTCCCTAAAGAAATGAAGAACTAAAACCCAAATTGACCTGAATCACTGAAGAAAATGCMTAATCTTAATTCACTGCACAAACACTCTCTGTTGGGACCAACAGCCTACTTCTAACTCTGAAACTCAGGCTTTACAACATAACAGAATTGCCTAAAACCCCTTAATTTGTCCTCAACAGCCCTGTTATGCCTATCTGCAGCAGACAGCAGTAAAATGTGAGCATTAAATTTTAAAATGTAATTCAATCCTACTGCTCATTTCATCCTTGGGCATCAGTTTATAGTCTCCCTAGGGTTACCATATGACTCAAGGAGGGCTTGCTGGAGATCTGTGGACAGCTAGCTAGTTTAATGATGCTGTTCACTCCTTGCATTTAAAAGTCATGTGAAACTAAATTAACTCTAGAAAAGTAYTTCCCAGTGTGAATAATCTGTTTTGATCACAGCCAACTTCAACAATTACAGAGGAAGAATCTCTTGAAATAAATCCCTGCATTCACACATGGGCAGTACAGAACAATTTTGTAGAACTTTTCCCTTCTTAATGGTATTTGCCATTTATTCTCATTTATTATCCCGTGAAAATTTAGTATATTTTTAGCTTTCCCAGTCTGTTGTGAAAACCAGACCAAGGAATATCAAATACTTTCTCCCACTCTCTTTTTCATTGTTCAATATCATATCCAGCCCTAGTTTGAATCATTGACAACATTCACATCCTAGACAACTTCATTTCTGCAGCACAGGCTCTGAAAGACACCAATGTGCAAATTCATTTAGGGCTCATATCTGTTGTTGCATCTGCCTGAAGTAATTTGGAATATTTTGCCTGGCACTAGTTTTATATTCATGTTCTTTATAACTCATGAGTCATAAGTAATCCTATCCAGCAAGTGATTTGTTCTTATTCCTCCAATACTGTTGTACTAAAACTGCCCACATTTAATTCAGCAAGTAGTAATAATCATCCACATCATTCTCTTTCCCCTTTCACTTGCTATTTGCAAAGCATTTGGTAATTAATTCCTTACTTTTCTTCAGGCTTTTACAAAATTCTGCAAGTGAAGTAACATATTTGCTAGGTAATTTCCTAAAGGGTCTGAGGGCTACATGAAGTCCAGGTCTGCTGGTCTGTAACTAATTCAACACAGTTATTTTTGTACCTGTTTCGCTTGTTTTGCAGCAGTCATTTGCAATAGTGCCAATACTGCCTAATTATTCAAACATAACTTTTCTCTTTTTGTGTGTGTGTGCGTTAGGATTTCATGTGAACAGCTTAGTCACACTGCAGCCAACCTGGCTTGTAGTCCTCATTTCTTCTCATTAGTGGACTTGCTTTCTCACAAGTTTTTCTTTTCCTCCAGATGTATTTGTATCTGTATCCCCCCTAATCCCATTGGCATTAACTTATTCTGCATTTTTTTTGGCCTTATCTTAGAAACAGCATGTTCCTGTCTGGTTTTCTTCCTTTCCACTCCTAGCACTGTGTTTTCAGCTTGCAAGAGGGGCATTTAGTCCTTTTTTAAACTTTGTGTTTGAATGACCCCTTGCAAAGCTACATTCTACATCTTCCATCTCATTCTCCTTAGTCAAAAGTGCTCTTGACTGCTGTGCTTTTGTTTAAACGTATTAATGGATTTCCCTGACATCTTCCACATTTAGTTTTAACAACCATCTTGTTAATAAACTTCTCATTAGTAATTCCTGCAAAATGCTTCAATCAAATCAAATCTGTTTTTCCTTTGCTGAAAGGGATGCAAATGTGTATGGTGTCCTTCACATCCATCAAAAGCTTTAAAAGGGATGTAAAACAGTTACTGCCTTAGTGGACAATGACCCAATGAGCAGTGGCAGTGCTTTAAGACACACAATGGATCTAGGCAGGCCTTTTGGTCTCTTTGGGGTCAGGAGAAGCGTCAATCAGTTGACTAAATGCTGTTTTCCAACTAGTAAGTGCTAGAACTGCAGGGCAGCTGGGCACATTGGACATACGTAGTCACCTCAGCTCAGATAGCCACCTAAAAGGTGCATGAACGTAAGTGCAATAGATATGAGCTCTTCCTCCTTCCTTTCTAAAGGGGTCACTTAAGGAAAAATCCTGGAAAAGATTATGGGGAGAAAACTGCAATTTCCAGAATGAACCAAAGGAGTGTGAATGTCAACTATCAAACTGGACAGGTACTTTGTAGAAAGCTCTTCCTGTATCCCAGAGAAAAGGAGAGGGGGTGACCTCTCTTCACTACACACAGCAAAACAAGAGTGGCAGGTTGTGCTGCATGAAGATCTGACAGTATTTAGCTACTGATGGGGATGTCATCACACTTACCACATAATTGTACTTATGCTTCAGGTTCCAGCGACAGATGGGACACTGGCCAGAGGGGTTGGGAGGAGTTGGCACCTCAGGATCCTCTATAATTCTCCCTTCAATCTAAGAAACAATTCAGAGGATAAAACCATCAAGCAAAGATTCCACAGTTTAGACCTCTGCATGCATCTGTGACTTGAGGAATTCCATTCACTGAGTTCACAACATACARATCAGTATTTCACAGAGGTTAAGGATGTTAAGTATCAGCATTATACAGTTCACTCAGATTTACACAAATCAAGCTCTTTGGATATATACATACTATAGGTTTAAAAAAAAAAAAAAGGGTACAGCAGGTCCATTTGGTAAGTTCCTGTCTACATTTCTTTAAATTTAATCTGCTTCTAAGCTAGTGTGAAGCACTTGCAACTACAGTAATTGTTCGAATCATTCAGTTTTGAAATTGCACCAAATCTCTGTRCAACAAAAGTGTGCTGAGAATTTGAGAATGTCAGAGCAGCAGGTGCATTCTGTAGGGCAAACTAAACAGGAGATTTCTACATTATAAAACACTAACAGGGAAAAATCTGAGCAGAAGTCAAATTGAAGAAAAGCCTGTTAAAAAGATATTTTTAGGGATTTCATTTCATCTTAATACAGCAATATTTTGTCCAGTTTAATTCTCTTCAGAAAAGTCCTTTGCTTTTAGAAGAATATTTTACAATCATTTCTATATCACGAGAAATTGGTGTCATTTAAAACTCATTTTTTAAAAAGTAACAAGCAAAGAAATCTCAAAGTTGTGTGTGGGAAGAACTTGAGAAATTTGCTTTCTAAATACGGATGTGTTGAGAATATCAAATCTATACATGTGCGTGCATATGTTTTTTCTTCTTTTTTTTCTTTGATAACTTATGAAAAGAAGCAAGTGCTCTTTCAACTTACAATAGAGAAAAAATGCAGTCAAACTCAGACAGCTTTTCTCTAGAACATTTGCGGAATTTCATAGAGTCAAATTAAAAATAAGAAATGGCTTTTGAACATTAACTATCAGCCTCACATAGTACAGGAAAACTCCTGAGATGCTGGAAATGAGAGGTATAGTACATAATGTGGAAATGCTATGCCAAACTTATTCCATTATGCAGGGCTTCGCATGCAGCAAGAAAGCTTTAAAATTCCAGCATAGACTGAGCGAAAATTGGATTAATAGATTTGTTCTGAGCAGCAAAGAAATTAAAAGAAATCCTGGATATCTAATAGAAGCCTCCCACACTTCCACAGTTTGCCATGTTACTTTTAAGAAAAACTGATTTAGGCTGAACTGACAAATCTTGCATCTGAAAAGCTGGGAAGGGAGACGATTTTCCCTYGGTGTGTATGGGACACTGACATCCAGCTGAGCTGCCAAACCACTTTATACCATGGAGGTGTCTTCCTTGGCTAGCGATGGCAAGATGGAAAGCTATCTGTAGGTGAAGCATTCTCAGTATGTCAAAAAAGGGAAAAATGTACAGGTTTAAGCTAAGCCTTCTCCTCGTCCATCTCCCATTTGACAGTTTTACAGAGCAGAAACAAAAAAGTAACTATGGATTATCAAAATACAGGATAGCCCCTAATTTTTATTCATGGGTGAAGTTATTTTCTGGGAAAACAGTGTCGAGGTTCCCTCAGGGTCTTGATCACGGCCAATCTGGCTTCAGATTGTACTTTGAGAGCWACTAGGAATAAATAAAGATTCAATACATGTCAATATCAACTTTTCCTGAGCTAGATTTCAGAGTACAGAATTGGGGACAACGACTTCCCACGTACTGAAGATTCTCATATTTCGAGTCACTCAGTTTTTATTCTTCTGTTAAAGAACTATGAGGGAAACTACAGGAAAATACTGATGAAATCCATATTTCCCTCCAATTCATTCGTTTGGTTCATCTGAAACACTTCCTTCAACACTGATAAAAGCAAGAGCACATAGGAAGATGAAGATACAGAAACATCTGAGGTAGTGTTGGTTGGATAAGTGGAGYGACCAGAAGGTATTCTGAGAAACATACCGACCCTTTCGTTCATCAGTTCACACCAAATTTTCTCATCTTAGGCAACTGATGCATCCTAGACGGATGTTAGGATATTTGTTATACAGTAGAAATATCCAAATCTTCCCCCTGCTTATCCAACAGACTAAAGAGTTGAGAATTATTTTTCTAAAGAGTTTGGCTACTGCAATGCACACCTTTGTTCATGCTTAAATTAATGTACTAGGTCTGGGAGATAATAATTTATTTCCCTTTTGAAGCATGAATTGAGTGCAAAATACAGCAAACCACTATCCCCATTCCTTTTTACTCCCTGCCCTTTTATTTTTTTTTTTAATAAAGAAATACTTCTAGCAAAAAAATGGGTACTTTGCTAGATTTGGCTAAGACAGTTTTATACTATATAAATTATTATACTATATAAATTATTCTCTAGGTATCTGGAAAAGGATTAGTACTTATACACCTGCAAGTGAAGAAAAGACTTTCTACCCTCAAGTGAAGAAAAGACTTTCTACCCTATCTACTGCTACTTCTTAAACTTAAAATTGCTGATTATCTACATGTCTTGCAAATTTCTGAGTTTTATTTTAAATCTGATATACCCCAAAATAATAGTAACCTGCTCCACACAGGTTTCAAGGAAGACAATATTCACTAATCTAAATATGGACAAGGAGACTCAATGCACGGTCAGGTGTTGTCTGTGTTTCACTGACAGGCAAAAATCTACTCCCTCCTTMTTACTTACTTACAAATTATAATTGAATGCAGTGTTTCCTAGGAAGTTTCAAGTACTTATTTCTCCATTCACCCCTTTGGTGCTTACACACTTCAAAATACCTTCATTTCTTGTTTCTAACAAAAGTATAGATAGCTCAACATTAGCATATGTAATGTGAACTGAATAGATTTATCATCTTACCCCTCTCATAATTTTGATGCTCCTTCCAAAAACGACACATATTTTGAGGAAGTGCTACAGATCAGACAGTGTTTATGAAGCAACGTTCTAACTCTACTGCTTTGGTKGTTTTATTTCGCATAGCTAGGAAGGCTCTTAGCTGTAGCTAAGAAAATGCTCCTTAGCTGCTATTTCAGAAACTTGGTTGTATTTTCAGAAGCATTTTCCTAGGATTTAGGGCTTGGCTGTGCTGATATTCTTTAGGGAAGAACTATGGTACTGAATATGTTGTTCAATGCGGACATTGTTTTACCTACTGTGGCGATGGCACCGATGCAAYTCCGCTTGACGACCCCGTATAACACACACCAAAACACAGAACAGGMAGGGGGGAAGCGCGTGGGGGGCGCAGGGAACGAGGGCGGAGCGGCGGGCGCCAGAGGAGCGGCTGCGCGGCGCCCTGCTCTGCCCCTGCCCCGTGGGCCCGGGCAGCAGCGCCAGCCTCGTCCCGGCCGGCACCTCACACGGTGGGGCCCGCGACGCGTCGCACGAGGGTGTCCCGCTCCGAACGCCTCCCGTTGGGAATACCGGGCAGGCGTCGCGCACGGTGCTCGCGGGAGGTTCCGCGCGTCCTGTCACCGGGAACGGGGGAGGATGATCCACGCGTTTTGCGGCCTGGCCATCCAGCCAGGCACCTGCAGGCACAGTGCAGGTTTTCCTTTGCTTTGCTCTCATATCCTGGGGGTCCTTCCCGCTCCTCCTCTCCCTCTGGGCACTCCAGGAGCGAAACGGGAGGCTTCCACCTTTGCAAGTGAGGAGAAAGCAGCGGGTATCTCTTGGGGAAAGGCAGACTTACCGTGGTCGTGTTGCCCTCGGTCACCTCCACAACTGCAATAAAAACAAAGGAACATAAGATTCACCCCGAGAAAAGCGGGCTTGCCTTGGAGGAGGGAAGCCAACCKCTGGCTATCCCGAGCCCCACTGCCTCCCCTAACGAGCTCTGCGGGACGCGGCGCGGCGGCGCGAGGGGGGCAGCCCCGGCCCTACCCCCCCGGGCCGCACTCACCCTCGCGGAGGCCTCGGGCGGGCGGCGAGMCCCGCGCGGGACCCGCGAGCCCCGCGAACAGCCACCGCAGCCCGCCCCGCAGCACGCCGGGCGCCGCCATCTTGGCAACGGCCGCGGCGCCGCTTCCGCCTCCGGGGCAGCGCGGGCGGGAGCGCGGGAGCGCGGCCCGCCGCCCGGCGCCATTTTGCCGCGCGGCCCGCAGCGGCGAGGGGGCTGCCTTGGGGTGGGGGGATCGCCGTGTTCTTTCTCCTTCTCCTGTTTTCCCTCCATTACTTTTTCTTTTTCTTCCCATTTGTGTATGTACGTTCAGCTTTTTAACACGTGGGGGTAGTTTAGAGGTGGGGCAGCACTTGCTGCCGTTGTGGCGACCCTCTTATAGCTGAGGCTGCTGTCAGCCTGTGGCTGTTACATAGGCCTGAGCTTTTCCCCTGGTGCCGCGCTCAAGTCCCTGCTGAGGGTGAAGGAGCAGGGGACGCTCTGGTTTAAGCCGGTTTGGAGGAAGGCTGCTCTTCCTGGATGTGCCCAGCGCAGAGTCGGGCTTCAGGGATAGTGCAGGGCAGCCACAGAGCACAGCGAAGGGGCCAGCCTCAAATCTGCCCATGTCAGATCTGCGTGTGCTCATGTTGTGCAGCTCCCAGCGTGTCCCTGTGCTGGGTCGTGTAGCTGCAGATAAAATGTGAAGCGGTCAAGCTCTTTACCTCAGTGTAACCCCCGGTTGCTCTGGTTTAAAGGATTTCAGTTTTTGCATGAATATCACCCATGGCAGGTTTCAGGTGACTTGTAGTTTCTGGGGAGTGCACTTTTTCCCATCATTATTTTTCAGCATAGTTTTAGCTTCACCTGCTTTTAGGCAGAGGGAAGAAAAGGAGAATGGAAACCATGGAAGAGCAATCATGGTTTAGCCTGGCAGTGCCTGTTGCAGGGGTGTATGAGGTAGCTGAGATATGAACAGAAGTGATACCTTCCACTTTAGATGGCATTGCTGCGTCTCCGTGAACAGCTTTTTGGCATGCAGGAGGCTGAGCYGAACCATCCTCAATAGCAAAGGCCATTGAGTGGTTTTTTTTCAAAGTGTTTGGTGACTTTCTCCTTGTCGTATCAACACTTGAAAAGTGTAGGTGGAAGCTGGAAGCAAAACTGATTGTGTGAGAAAAATAYTTACGTCTCATGTGCATCTGCAGTCATTTGTGTTATTCTCTTAAATCAGAGATCAGCAGCGTTCATGTAAAACATAAAAGCAGTTTTCTGAGTTTCTAGGTAAAAGGTGATTATAAAATATAGTGATGTAAAATGCAATATTATAAAGCAAAGTGTGATCTTGCTACTCCCGAATGTGTTCCACGTCCTTCCTTTGGGTTTGGGCAGGCTCTTGTGTGCCGGGCCAGGCAATGGAAACCAAGGCCGTGTTGGCTGCAGAACAAAGTGCCAGCGGAAAGACCTTCTCCTTTCCTGTTATACCCTGCTATATAGCCATTTCTGGAGGCAGGGGGATCTTTTAACTTGTCCGAAAGCTTAAAAATAAGAGCCAAACAAAATATTTACAAAATATTTTATCTAGGGATAACTTCCTTATGAGGAGAAGAAATATTTTCTGCCAGGGAAAGTTGATACAGTGATGTCACGTTTTTATGAGGGKTTTTTTTTCCCTTATACATAGAATTTTAGCCTTGTTAAAGGAGTTTGGCTGCAACAACTTGACAGAAGAGTTTATTCAGTGGTTTAAGTTAAACCAGGTTTCTCCTGACTGGCTTGTCTTATGTAATAGGGAACTGAAGGGCCGAGTGTGTCCAGTGGGATGGAAAGCAGCACTCGGTAGCACAATCTTGGCTCGCCGTGGCAAAGATGAGGCAGGGAAGCATTAGGAGGATGTTCAAGAATTTCTCAGTGTCATTTGACCTTTCTGAAGGTGTTTCAGGAGCGCTGTGCGTGAGTCTGGAGTCTCACAGAAAGAGACTCCGTGTTGGTGGCAGCTCAGATAAAAGTTCCCCACTTGCTCTGCCTGCTTTCCACCAAGTCCTGTCCCTAAAGGAATATAAGCGGTGCCTAATGAAAYGCAAAGAAGGAAGGTAGCTGTTTTCCCAAAGAACTGCAGTCTTGGGGTAGGATGAATCTCCTGTTCCGCCTAGATGGTTTTTTTTTTTTTTTGCTTTGTGAGTGTGTTCTACAATAGTGATTAGCAGTGCAGACCANTTTTTTTTTTTTTTTGCTTTGTGAGTGTGTTCTACAATAGTGATTAGCAGTGCAGACCATCAAGTCCCAAGGAGACAAACAAAGCATGTGCCAGTTTGGGCTGAAGCCCATYATCCCTTGCCAAGTTTGTAAATTTGACATGTTTCTGATTTCTTGCAGATATTCTTGAGTGAATTTTTTTTTCATCAGGCCCTTGTATTTAGAGGAAAAGGAAAATCGTACTGGACTTTACATCTGTATAAAAAAGAGAGAAAATAAAGTAACTTTCTTCAGATCTGTTCACCTGTAACCTGTGTTTTGTTGGCACTGCATGGATTGCAGTTTAGATGGAACTGGATGAGAYACTCGCAAGGATTGGAGCGGGATGTCACTGGTCACTCAGGAATGAACTGCTTTCCCTTGAATTAATTTTAAACTTGTGGTCTGAAGAGTAGGGTTTGTTGCAAGGAAGGAAGTATCATTTTTCTAGATGAGAAAATAATATCTTAATGGTTTATGGCATCTARGGGATCTTATGGTACTGTTCTCAAAGAAATGGTGTTCCCTTGTTTAAAGTGCTTTGGGACCAGACATTGTTAATGTTGTGTGAATCTCAGCTTTCCTTTTCACACTAGCTTGTGGTCTGCCTTTTATTCGTGTCTGGAAAATGGAATGTTTTCTTATTCACTCTAACATTCAACTGTTAGAGCGAACATTTCTGCCTCCAGCTACGAAGAAACTTTTCTGGTCCTTTGGGCCTTCTCTGGTCCATTGGACGCTAATGCATGACATGCATATATCTGCTGCAGAGCTAACCTGTGCAAAGGTCTTATGAAGGCTGAAGTTGTTCCAGCCAGACGTGATTGAAAGACACAGAAATTGAGTTGGAAAAAGCCGTGAGCTCATGTAGGTCCCACGTGCACCCACAGATCCGCGCAGGTTCCTTTGCAGTGCTACATTTTTGGTGCTTTCCAGAAGGGGTCACTGCAGGTCAGTGTTCACTGTTTGCTTCCAGCTGCCTCCTTCCCCTCCCCCTCCATGAAAAATTAGGAAACCTGAATCTGGCAAGAAGTAGTTTCAGAAATGCCCCAAACTATTGCTGGAGCTTGTAATTGGGCTTTGGGTGATCAAAAACCATAGCACTGTGTTCAAGACTGACAAGTGATCATCCAGGATTTCAGACTAGGAAATTCACTGAAGTCTCAAAATGATTTTTTTTAGCCATGTACATTTATTAAATATCACACATCCCGAGAACTAACTCTTCTGGGTCTGCTGGCTTGCAAAAAGAAAGAGCTTCATGGATTATCCTATCATGTAGTCCCTACTTACAAAAAAGTGCATTACAATAACACTTTTATGGTTACACAAAAGGTATATGGATGATTCAAATTAAATTGCTGGTTGTAAAAAGCAAGTGAAAAAACCCACCTTAAATCTGAGTATGGGAGGAGGAACCTCACAGTCACTTTGCACCAAAAATGCACTTCAGCATCCACAACTATTCGGGCCACCACTGAACAGAAACTTTCTGAAGGTTTCCGAGTGACATGAGCCTGTTGGGTCTCAGAYGCTGTTGCAGGGCTTGTCTTGTGTAGGTGGAGTCTTGTGTAAGTGGCCTGGTGGAGAGTAGCTAGTAGTAGCTGCCCATTCAACCAACAGCTCCCAGCAAATGTCCGTGTCAGTGAGGAGGTGACRGCCAGCTTGTGAAACACATGGCTGACAAACAGGGGACCAAGCAGGACCATTTAGCTGTAGCTGTTGAAAGTTTGAACYAGGAAATTGGATCTCTGGTTTCGAGTGCTTTCTAGACGCAAGCGCTAAAGCATTGCATGCAAATAGACCTTTTTCTGAGCCTAGCAAGAAAAAGCAGAAAAAGCCCATTCTGTGTGGGGTGTTGAAGGATTTATGCTCGGACTCGATGATCTTGAAGGTCTTTTCCAACCATAATGATGCTGTGATTCTATGATTTGAGAAGGTGGAAGAGAATGGTATTAAGACATGAATATTTKGAGGTGTGGAGGGGCATGAAAAAGGGGTTGGAGGTGGAAAGAAGGAAATACTGTGAAGAGAACAGGGAAAAGAGATGGCACTTGGCTAGGAGAACRAGCAGCTCACTTGAAAATAACTTGTTCGTATTTTCTTTCTCTTTTTTTCTTTCGTTCTTTTTTTCTTTTCCTGCAGTGGATGTGGTTATTCTTGAAGTAAAATAACCAAGTAATAATTTCATTACATTTTCTTCCAAGATTTCAAGCTAAGTATAAACAAGAGATATCCAGTGGGGATATTAATCCAACTTCCTTTTTCAATAGCGCTTCAGTCCTGTTTCACCTCTGCTCCTTAAACGTTCCAGCTGGTACAATTTTTATGCCCACTACTTGTGGCATTGCAGCCTCCAACTGAAATACCTCATTGAAGGCATTTGTTAGAAGGAAAAGCTTTTTTTTTTTTTTTTTTTTCTTCCCCAAGTACAAAAATGGTAAGTTCTGAGATTTTCGATGTTTAAAAATATAGTAATGGCTTTGGACATTTTGGAAATTTTCCATATGGGCAAGTCAGAATGATGGAAAACAACCACTGCACTGCGACTTGATCTCTGGCAATTAGTACTTGGGCTGTATGGGAGAATCAGAAGGAACAAAAACTCTGTAACAACAGCATGGCAATCAGACCGGCAGACTTCCAGTAGCTTTAATTTTTCCAGATGTTAAGTGTTTTTTTTTTTTTTCCCCAGGTGAAGGAAAGATTTAAAAAAAAGAAAAGAAAAAACAGAAAAACATAGAGTTTGTAAGCAATGGCTGACATGAAGACTACTATAATACTGTGTGTTTAGATGCAGTTTGAGTGAAATGCAAGCAGTGTTAATTTGCATTAAGTGAAGAGAGAAGGATTATGTGGCCTATGAAGCGACGCCAGTGTCTTTGGACGTTT